TCAATGCATGCACTTTACCGGGCTCGCGCCTGGGCACATCGCCCACACAATGCAGGCAAGGAGGTCGCATGCCTGTTGGCCCATGGCCCTTGCCCGTCTCCACTCACGCCTCCGGCGGGGCGCAACTGGAGCGTTGGCCGCGACGCCTGGGCAGGTGCTCCAATGTGTCGGTGGGGCACGTGCAATCCGTCAATGGCATCAAGTTTGTTGCGGACCTGAAGATCTCACTTGGCTCGTCCTCGAATGTCCAAAAAAAAAAAAAAAAGGAAACATGACCAATGGCCTGCAACAGTTTTGCTGATCATAGTCCATGACAAACTCCCGGATCGGGGTCCGTTCCGCGGAGCGCACGTGTCTCGCTGTATCGCGGTTGCGCCTTGCTCAACTTTGAAACAAGCTGCGCTGTAGGGTAGTCAAAACGTGTCGAACGTTTGGCCAATTAAGAATGGCACAAACAACATATAATTGTACGTCAATACTGGAGGCGTGAACCGAGAGGCACGGCGATGCTGTCTCTTTGTAAACCTGGTACCAAGGGGGTTTTTTGTGCCGGTCAAAGCATAACCATGGCATCACAGCCGCAGCCGCAGCCACATGTAAACAAGGAGCCGCTCCTCCACCGCGCCGACGATCCAACCCCACTGGGCTGTGCAGACGACCAACCATCATCAGGTCGTCTGGAAACCACTCACCAAACCTCCCGACTTGCTTGAAGAGGACGTCGGGAGGACGAGGGCGCAAATACACCTCGCAAAAACGCCTGGGAATGTGCCGTCCTACCCATTTTCTTCGTCGCCCTCTGGTCCCCTCGACAACTGCCTGAGTCACCCAGGACTGGCGAATCATGCACGTGGCTGTTTCTGTTTTCGACATCGCCGATGAACTTGACGCTTGCAAACGAGAGACGCCCCTTGTCCGTCCAAATCGACGACGTTGGAGCACACAACCTGTCCACTTCATATCCTGCAGGGCCCCATGTCAGTCTAATCCTCGGTAGCGGAATACGCCCAGTCAACAAGTGTCTATATATTATACATCCATCTTGGCCATCCCGATCTCCCTCGAATCCGACAATTCTCTTCCCTCCCCCCCAATACGCGCGGGCTGGCTCAGCCATTGGTCTACCGTCTGCAAAATGGCAGATACAGAGGAACCTCAGTTCAATACTCTCGCCGAGAGGATCGCCGCCCTCAATAAGCAGAAAAACTTTAATGGCAATGGCACCACCGACTTGCCACGCAAGCGAGCCCCTCCTCCAGCGCCTCCCGTGCGAACAAAAAGTCCGGCAAGAAGTGAGCCTGCTCCAAGCCCGGCATCTGCTACCGCCAGCGGGCACTCTCATCCATCCATTCCCACCAGACCTGTGAGAGGGAACGCGCCGCCTCCCTTGCCTCGAAGAGACACTCAAACTTCCGTCGCAAGCAATGACTCTTTGGTCACAAAGCCTGGTGGCGGCCCTCCACCATTGCCAGGACGGCCAGCAACCTCTCAGACTCCCCCGGCCCTGCCTCGGAGGACCTCAGCTCAGTCGACGGCATATCTTTCTCCCCGTCGCAACTCAGCTTCCTCCGAGATTTCTCAGCATTCTACGCTATCTACCTCGTCATTGGTGCGGACGACCTCGTCCAATATTAGCTACACGTCCAGTGGAAGCGCTCCACGAAAAATAATGGCCCCTGCTACCTGCGATGCGGCAAGTCTCCCACCTCTCCCCCCTTCGAAACGAGACCTCGAAGCCAGGGCAAAAGATGCCGCTGCTCAAGAAATCGCTGCAAAAGACGCGGCCGCTAGGGATTACAGAGCCAAGCAGGCTGCCAAAGCACAGGAGGCCCGAGCCGTCAGCAACACTTCATCCCCGGCCCCCCCTGCTCGGCCCAGCTTGCCACCGCCGTTGCCGTCAAGGCCAGCCAAATCTCCAAGTCCAGCACCAGCACAAACAAGTTCAGCGGTTGAAGTTGAAGAAACAAAACCAGCACCTCCCAAACGTCCCTTTGGCACCATCAAGGGCTTTTCTAGCGGGAAATCAATCAAAGCTCCGCCCATTCCAATGCAACGGCCACAGCTTCCTTCCAGATCATCTGCCAGTGCCGAGGCTACCAGGGACGATGCACCCCCGCCGGTGCCTCTGTCGTCGAGACCTTCTGCAGCGCAGATTCACGCCGCGTCGTCCGAGGCCGCGACCGGTGCATCAAACGGGGATAGTAAAGGGGACAGTACTACCGGGTGCTGGGTGTGTCGAGATTGGAGTGGACCAGATACTGTGGCAGCACAGTTCCCGAGACAATCTTTGCCTCATAGGGACCCTGTTGGCCATCTTGCTCGTGGCTTATGTGGGCCTTTCCCGTCATACGACGATAAAGCCAGGGCAATTTTTACATGGTGCCATCACAACATATCCTACGACACAGTGTCTTTCTTTAGCAACAACGTGAGGCACATGTCCGTGGAGGACACTATATTCAGTGGTTTGGCAGTATGTCAAGGCTACGCAGAAACGTTCAAGGCTGTGGCCAATAGAGCGGGGTTGGAGTGCGCAGTTGTTGGAGGTCACGGAAAGGGCTTTGGCCATACGCCATTGAAGAAGGGTGAGCGACCGCCTCCGGCAAAACCGGACGGGCACGCCTGGAACGCTGTCAGGGTGGATGGTGGCTTCTGGAAGCTCATCGACGCTTGCTGGGGAGCTGGGCACATCTGCTCGGCGGCGAATCTGTACAAGAAGGAGTTCTCTCCGCGCGAGTTCACCCTGAGCAACGAAAAATTTGGCCTTCGCCACTTCCCTCAGGACTCCCGACTTCAATACAGGAGTGACGGACGCACGATTTCCTGGGAAGAATATTACACTGGAGGCCTGGATGGGGAGCCACACCAATGGTACGGCACTGGAAATAGTGAGGGCATTGCAGAGGAATCTGTGGAGCCAAAGGGTCGCGATGTATCGGTTCATAGCGGGCAAGTCGTACGATTCCAATTCTCCAAAGTTTGTGAGCACTGGACATCAGAGAAGGCCGGGCTGGGGAAGCCTGCCCTGTTCTTGCTCAGTATCCATGGACTCGACGGACGCAAAGATGAGATTATCCCAACTGAGACCAACGGATACTGGAACTGGGTAGATGTCAAGGCTCGAGATCTTGGAGCTCCGGGACAATCGGTAGAGATTCTGAAGCTCGAGACGATGGATAATAGGGACGCTCGCGGTGTCACACCGGAGGAGTTTGAGTCGAAGAGGGGGAGGGTCGGCATGTCATGGTCTTACATCGCCAAGTGGAACTTGGTATAACGAGTTACGAACAGCTTCTCTCAAGTGGCTACAGACAAAGTATTGATTGGGTCTACGGACAGTATGCACGCATGGCGTCAAGGCCAATGGGCTAACTAGCATTAATACACCTAAGTCTTCGTTTCACGAGCTGACTTTGAAAACATTCCAATAGGGTTTGTCACCCGCAATGTGTACTATTCAATACACGTGGCCGCATATTAAACGTGTATAGTAATTCATGCCCCAACGCCACGATCCAGGCCCACGCAATCCGACTGCCCAGAACGCTATTATACAGGAAAACGCAGAAGATGATGGCCGAGGTGGAGGGCATCTTGAACGGGCGCACGAGTCCATCCACGAGGATCTGGTTCTTGGTCAGAGGCGGCGCATCGGGGTTCATGTAGCAGCTTTGCAGCTCAGGACGGCCCCTGCCCCCCAAGCCGCCCAACAAACGGCTTAACCAGCATATTCATTAACGCCGCAGGTGGACAATGTCCGCAGGGCGCATCTGCGAGCGTCGTGGCATCTGCACTACGTCTTTTGTGCCGGGTACCATGGTGTCTCCTCGCAGATGTTACCTAGAATGTTGGGCTGTCTCCGGGCGCCCATGGGCTTGGCACGCGTTCTTTTGGTATTGAAATCATCTTGGGTTGGGCAGCGTCTTCCGCTTGGTGCTTTTCTTTCTGTCTCTCTTTCTTTCTTTCTTTTCCCTTGGTGGTGCCGAGCACCGTGTTGCCCTCTATATTTTCCCGAGATGGCTGGCGTTTGGCAGGTCTGTATTGGCGAACAACTGGTCTGTATGACGGTTTCCAACTGTAATAGAAGCGCTGTTCGGGTAGCCTCCAGAGCAGTACTATCCATCCACGGCTCTCCCTGTAAACATATTAACATCTTAGTTCACGTTTCCTTATAATATGCTACATCGACCGTGCCCCTGGATGTAGGCTCCACGTGGCAAAGATGTCAAGTCGCTTTTGGGCACAGGCACAAGCGCACAAGGAGACTCCCGTCTTGACTACCGCACCTAGACAATAGGCTTTTGCGTCTGTGCCTGGGCAAAGGTATTCGGGTGATGACGATGCCCCCGAGATAGATAGGGTAGCCTCATGATCGTAGGACTTGAAGAGAATGCCGACTTGTCTGCCGTCGAAAACACAAGGAATAGGCGGACATGGGACTGAACTGATGAGAGTGTTCTCCTCACGACCACAGCACCACAACCCGGTCTTCTACCAAAAGTCAGACTCGATCTTTGCTCTTCATATAACAAGAGGGGGGGGGATGGCATACAATTTGACGTACTCAGCAATTGACCTTTTCCTGTATCCCGGCGTACCTGGCGACCTACTAGATAGGTACGTGGAAATAGGACGGAGACTCGAGTGGAGTCGAAGGTTCGTTACTCCGTGTATCTTTCAGCTTAATTAACACGTGTAGCATGTAACCGCGTTAATTAGCCCCGCCTGCCAAAGCCACCTGCCAAAGCCACCGTGGCAGCTGCATCGTCATATTAAACTCGCAGCTTCAAGTTTCCCATCCTGTTCTTCTGTTCAAGAACACTCGAGTGCTCAATCTTGCACCTGGCACTCTTACCACTTCATCACAGTCTCTTTCTTTTTTTTTACCTTATTTTCTACCATCTACAGCCACAAATACTCTCCGAAACAAGTCATACGACGCCAATTGGCAACAATGCCATAACCTCGACACCACAGACCCACGAACCACCGTCTGCAAGATGCGCACCTCGTCGCCTCCCAACTCGCCAACATCCCTCTCCCGCTCCGAAACTCTCACCCTCCTCATACTCAGCGGCGCCTCGCTCTCCGTCCTCCTCAATACCTTCCAAGGCGATGGCGAACCCCTCATCGCCTCGCTGGCCCTCTCCATCATCGCCTTCAGTCTCTGCTACGCCATGATCCGCTGGCTCGGCCCAACCTTCATGCGCGCAGGCTTCCGCGGTCGCGACCTCAGCAAGTCAACCCGCATCGAGATCCCCGAGTGTATGGGGGCCGTCTGCGCCGCTGTCTACCTCCTTACCGTCATCGTATTCATTCCGTTCCCCTTCTACAAGGACATCGTCGCCGCCACGTCTGGCGGCGGTAATCGCGATGTTGTTCTGGAGCAGGAACATGTCGACCACGGCCGCTTCCTCCACCGCTTCCCACACAACAAGCTTGCTTCCTATCTGGGTGCCATCATATCTCTCCAGACCATTGCGCTGCTTGGGATCGGCGACGATCTGTTCGACATTCGATGGCGGCACAAGTGGTGGATTCCAGGTCTCGCCAGCATCCCCCTGCTGGTCGTATACTTTGTCGACTTCAACGTCACCTCCATCGTCATCCCTGTCCAACTACAACCCTACATTGGAGAATTATTCGACCTCGGTCCCCTGTACTACGTCTACATGGCTTGCATAGCCATGTTCTGCCCGCAAAGCATCAACATGCTTGCCGGCATAAACGGCATCGAGGTATCCCAATGCCTTGTCATCGCCGCCCTCATCGCCTTCAACGACTGCCTGTACCTGTTCACGCCCTACCCGCACCCGGCCACCGACTCGCACTTGTTCTCGCTCTACTTCCTCCTCCCCTGGATAGGCGTGTCCGCCGCACTCCTCCACCACAACTGGTATCCCGCAAAGGTATTTGTCGGCGACACATATTGCTACTTCTCGGGCATGGTCTTTGCCGTCGTCGGCATCCAGGGCCATTTCTCCAAAACCCTTGGCCTCCTCCTCATCCCCCAATTCTTCAACTTTGCTTACTCGGTACCGCAAATCTTTGGACTGGTTCCCTGCCCGCGTCACCGCCTCCCCAAATTCAGCGCCCGAACAGGTCTCATGGAACCGTCCGTGACTCCGTGGAGCCCCGACCGCCAACCGCACCCTCTGGTAGCACAGGGACTACGCCTCCTCGGGAAACTGCACCTCCTGAAGGTGACTGTTGACGAAAAGGGCAGTTTTGTGGAAACCAGCAACTTTACCATTTTGAATCTGTGGCTGGTGTGGAGGGGTCCCTTGCGAGAAGATAGACTGGCGACGGAAATTACGTTGCTGCAGCTGCTTATGGGACTGTTTGGTTTGTTTGTAAGGCACAAGCTGGCCCTGCTGGTCTTTAAGGAAGATAACTGGGGTACCACTGCGTATTAGATAGAGCATTTGGCTGGCCGCATATCTCTACTAGGCGAAGGAGAACATGGAGCTTTATGAAATGCTATCGCCTACTCTACATAGCTGAATTGATACCCGTAAAATGAACTCGGATATATAGAAGGAACCATGCCAATGTCCTACTTCCGAGTGAACAGCATTTGCCAACGAGCGTGTTCCAGCGATCACTGATACACCTGCGTAGCGAAATTCAAGAAGAAAAAATTCACCACATATGCACCATGAACCCATCATGTAGGAGTGGTTGGATGTTGTCATCCATAGATCGATCCATTCATCTCAACTACCTAGGTAGTGTCAGGCGTTCCTCCTCCTTACTCGCACGCAGAAACTTCCAGTACGCACAGTAAGACATACAAATACACAGAGTAGAAAAGGGATATTATAAGAAGAAAAAAAAGGGGAAAAAAGACAAGCCAGCCATGTGTCAGTGCGCCCAATAAACGCCCCTTCTCTCGAAATGAATACGACCTTTTCCCACCATTTCAAGAAAAAAAACACCGCGATCCGCAGACACTTGGTCATCTATACAGACGCGCAAAGTGCATCATCGCTGTATTTGTTGAGTCATCCAAATAACCACTCCCATGAACCCCTTTGTCCCCCTTGTCCAAATCAACGCCGATTTCATCCTATTTCTCTTTCTCTGTTAACGCCGTGTTCGATAATAAAAATCCAGTCGATACACCCCAACCCCACCCCAGCCCAAAAAAGTGAAATAAAACAAAGTTTTCGTGAGCTCCAAACTACTTTGGTGTTTTGACGGCCAAGTGTATTCCTCCCTCCAGTTTTGGGTGGGCTTGCCTGCAACACTATGAATCCGTCTGCATGACTATCTGGCATTTAAAACAGCAAAACCCGCATCGTCAGCGATAAACAAGTATACATCATACACATTCCTTATACAAAATCAGGCCCCATTCACTGCTGGTGTTGGGTCATCGGTCTTGTCCAATGGCTGAGGGTCCATCGTCATTTCCACCTGAACATCCTCAGGACTGGCGAGGCCTGGTTTCAAGAGAGTTGATCCTCCCGCGACTTTGCCTGCCGCCTTGTTTAGTCGACTCTTGTAATCGCTGAGGCTCAATTTCTTTTTGACAGGACTCGGGGCTGCCGCGATACCATTGATCGACCCTACAGCAAAAGAATTGGAGGCGCTTGTAGTTCCAAACGGGGATAGCGCCGCAGAACTTGCTGCTGAAAGAGGAGTAGCCGTAGTTGACGCAGCTAGCCCCGTACTGTCAAACGCAGGTACTGGAGGCAACTGTACACGAAGATCTAGCACTTTCATCTTGCTCGTTTCTATCGTCGTGCCATTCAATACTATACTCTGAGGTATTTCAGCCATATTGGTATCGGTCGTGTGCGACGTCGGTGATGTTACATCAGAGCCAGTGCTAGCGACCGAGGGTCGATGTTCGCTGATAGGCGAGTCCAGCTCCATAGCTGAGACACTGCATGATTGGCTTGTCAAACAACTTCTTTTCCTCTCCTCCTCAGTGATTAGACTTTGGCGTCGGTTGTTCATCAATCTCTTCGAAAGCGAGATGATTTTCTTCTTGATCGGCGTTGGGTTGCAGGATTCGCTTATCCAATGGCCCTCGACGGGGTCTGTTTGTACGGCTGCATCGCAATACATTGCGCGGGGACCTGCCGAAGTCTGCCTGGAGCCCGATGTAGATGGACAAGGCTTGCCCGATGCCTTTGGATATCCGATGCTTGGCGACCTTCCGGTAGCCGGTGAGCCAGACTTGCTGCGAGATGTACCTGCGTCAACGTACTGCCCAGGTGGACCCGCTGAACCATTCCTTGACTTTGATTTCGATGAGGACGTTGTCCCATCAGAGACGCGCTTCTTTTTCCTTGGCGGTTGCTGTTGTTCCATTCGACGGAATGAATCTTCCACCATGGCTACTTTCCTCTTGTCTCTATCCGTTGGCTCAGTTAGTATTCCAAGTTGATCGAAAGACCCAACTGGCGTGCGGTCACGACTTGGAGTTTTACTGCGCGACCCTCCTTCAGCTTTGACATCATCGGCTCCTTCGTCAATATTTCCCTCACTGGCAGCTCTGCTATTGGTAGCGTGACCAGTGCTAGTGGGCGAGATAGTGTGATTACGGGGCTTTCGAGACTTCTTCTTTCCACCTTTGCTTTGATTTCTGCCAAAAATATAGTGCCGATGAAAACGGGCAAAGGCACAATTATTCTCCAGATCGCAGGCACAGCCACCGTATTCAGATAATATTCGGTCGATCCAGTTAGAAATGGCTGTATATTCAGCCGAGTCCAACTCTGGCTCGTCCTGGGCCGCAGAGTCGTCATCGCTCAATCCCAGTAAATGAAGCCACCTGTCCCGCACACTCTTTTCCAGTCGGAAATCCCAAGGTAATGTAATTTGTTCCTTGGCAGGGATATATCGGTCGCTGACAAGCCAAAAGTGGTATTCTGACCCCCCAGACAAATACGTGTCCAGCTGAGCATTTGGCTTGCAGCTCCTCCGCACATATCTCGCCAGAGAGCCTTCTTTTCTGGTGTCGATGTACAGCGGTAAACTAGGGTGGAAGAAGACAAAAGGGAGCGGGCAAGAGAGGTCAGCCCAGAGGTTGACAGGATTAGCGCAATAGTCCTTTTGAAAGCCAATTTCGCCATTCAGCTCGATTAAAGCAACATCCTTTTCGATTGCTGTTGTCGATTCGATACAGCGCCATCGAAGGGTTGTTCCAGGCTCCACTGATCGGGTGGTATCATTTACCTCTAGCTTTGGCCTCATCTGATCCACGTTGGGTGGCTCATCTTGAAAGACTTCTGCACGGGTCCTGCCCACCTCTTGCTTCATCGTATCGGGATCTCGCAACCATCGTGAAAGTGCTGTGGGGATAGCTAGACTGGCAAAGGCATTATTATGTGTATCGGGGACCTCTTGCTCATTATAGAGGGAGTAAAATCCAGCGGAGTAGTGATGAATCTGAAAATCATTGGGGAGATCAGGGGGCGTTGTGGCGGGACTGGGAGGATGGGCGGGATTCGATCGCGAGTTTTGACCGTACGAAGGGCTTCGCTTCGACGGCTGGGAACTGACAGAGTGCGAAGGGCGGTGTGCGGATTTCGCTTTCTTCGAGGAAGGGGGAGGGGGGCTGGCTAGTTTGCCGTTTTCAAGGTGGCCATTTAATTGTAGGTCGTTAGGCTTCGGTTTCTTTCTGGCGCCCTTGGTCGGAGGTCGCTTCGTCTTCTTGTCCAGGGGTTCCTTCTGTGCTTCTAAAATATTGTTGGCATTTCGCAGTCGAAGGGTTCGCTCGATGGCTTTTTGTCGATCTAGGGGTCGTGGCTTGCATTCTGCACAAGAGTGAGCAAAGTCCTCTCGGATAGCCTCATCTCTGTTGTTAGGATAGAAGCAGTCAATGTGCTGCCAAGTATCGCACGTCTCGCAGTAGATTGTGTTTCCGTCATCGTCAGAGAAGTTGCAGATACACTTGATGGTGTAAGGCTCTTCCTCCGTCTGCTCCACGGTCGGGGCAATGGTCGGGTCATCTTTGACAACCGTATCCACGGGCGCAGGTGGAACGGTCTGACTGGGAAGTGGTGCCTGCGTCGACGGCGGCGCGGGCGTGTCTGTCATAATCTGAAGGAGATCTCACGAGGAGTTGGCGGCGAAAGGCGTGAGTGCGAAGCAGAAAATTAAGGTCGCAGTCTTGAGGGCATGACGCCGCTGTGCAAAGAGGCGCGCCCGTGGTGTTGTCAGAGGACGGAACCCCGAACGTGAGGTTTATATAGCCTGGCGCCTAAAAAGGGGTGAGATTATCTCTTTGCGATCAGACTGCCGACGATCGAAGGAGTTGTCGAGTGTGCACAGCGAATTGAAGATGGAAAGAGCGTCGGGCGCAGAGCGGCTGCGGAAGGGTAGCGACGCCACGGCTGATCGGAACGAAAAATCAATCGAGCCGACCAGAGTTTCCGTTGTCTAAAGCCAGAAACCAACCTTTATTCGACGAGTCGAAAGAGGGTGGTACGTTTGGAAAGCAGTGAAAGTCTCTTCACCAAAGCCGTGGAAGAAGCGTCAGGACGGACTTGGAGATGACGGAGCGCGGCGGGTTGTGGCGCGTGGAGGCAGACAGTTGCGCAGTAGCGAATATAACAAAAGAAAAGCGAGAAGCAGGGCCAGAAGTAGTGGCCAAGCAAATCGAGAGTGGTCTAATGTAGTGAATCGCGTCGTTCAGTCGAAGAAACGAAGGGGCGATGAAGGTGGGCGTGTGTGCGTGTGTGCGAAAGGAAGAGGGAGAGACAAATCGTGGGCTGCACAGAACAGAATGGGAATTTGGGGGGGGAAGGAGCCAAGATTCAATGTGTAGCAAATGGCAGCAGGATGGGGAAAGAGCGACCCGGAGGACCCAAAACACCAGTCGACGCTTGGGAGGGAGGGGGGAGGCGAGGCAGCCCTGGGATGGGATCGAAGGACCAGACATCGACGGGAACTTTGGCCTACGGGCAGTCAAGCACTAGGGTGTGAGGGGGGCTGACCACTTTGAGCAGCTACAGAGCGGCCAGAGCGGCCAGCGAGACCAAAAGCTTGACGCAGCACGGGGAACGGATAACCGACGACTCGTTGCGCTGGTGGTTGCGAGGGCGTGTGTTGTGTGTCGATGTGTGCACTGTCTGTGAGCCAGCTAGGGGAGCCTGGATCGACCAGATAGGACCAATGATAGTTATAGCGCTGTTGAGCCAGACGAGTGCAGTCAAAGGCAACGCGACCTGCGAGGCAACAAATTACCAGTTTGCTCAAGCTTTTGAGCCGTCCCACGTTAAGGGGATAGTCCGGAGGAGCTCACAAAGACAGCCTTGACACCCGAGAACTCTGTCCTCACACATGGATTACAATTTCAGATCCGATATTACAGTGGAATGTGTGTCCAGGCATTTGGGCTCGACAGCCAACTCTCGACGGCAGACAGCAGACGGCAGACGGCAGACGGCGTGAAGCCAGG